TGGGGTGCAAGGGGGGGAGGGGACCATAGAGGGTGCCCCTCAACCCATGGGGGACCTCCCAGCTGATAAGGGGCACCCTCCGTGCCATGGGGGGCACCGTCCCCCTGCCCCCTACCCGTGGGACACCCCTCAACCCATGGGAGACCCCTCAACTCATGGAGTGCCCCCCAACCCATGAGGACATGCCCCAACCCACGGTTGACACCCAACCCACGGTTGACACCCAACCCACGAGAACACCCCCCAGCCACTGGAGAACCTCCTAACCCATTGGAAACCCCTCAACTCATAGAAGACCACCCCAACACATGGAGAACCCCCCAACACATGGAAGCCCCTCCACCCCATGGGGTGCCCTCCAAGCCATGGGACACCCCCTATACCTCCCCACTTCCCCTTCCCCAGACTGTGACGGTGAAGGAGGCCGATGTCCACCAGCAGAACCCCCCCAAGTTCGACAAGATCGAGGACATGGCCATGCTGACCTTCCTCCATGAGCCTGCTGTCCTCTACAACCTCAAGGAGCGCTACGCTGCCTGGATGATCTACGTGAGCCTTCCCCACAAGCCCCTGGGGCTCTGGGGGCTGGGCAGGGCCTGCCCCACAGCCTATGGTGGGGGGGAAAGCTAGCATCCTCACCCTGGAGCTCTTGGGGGACCTGGAACTGGCTAGGCCTGCCAAAGAAGCTATGGGGCACCTAGAACCTGGTGGCCTTTCTCCAGAGCCCTTCGGCCACCCAGAGATGAGATGTCCCACCTATGGACCCCTTGGGCCACCCAAACCCAGGATGTCCCATCTCCAGCCCCCTTGGGCCACCCAGAGCCGAGATGTCCCCTCCTGGTGGGGTGGGACCTCCTGGCCCTGAACCCTCTGCTCCTTCTCCAGACCTACTCAGGGCTCTTCTGCGTGACTGTCAACCCCTACAAGTGGTTGCCTGTCTACAACGCCGAGGTGGTGGCTGCCTACCGGGGCAAGAAGCGGAGTGAAGCTCCGCCCCACATCTTCTCCATCTCCGACAATGCCTACCAGAACATGCTGACAGGTAGGGACCTCCCACGGGGACGCCGAGCCAGAAGACCCCACCCCAAAAATGGGTGCTGACTTAGATCTGGTCCTTACTGGAGGGGTGGAGAATCCCAACCCCAGCATCTCCCCTGGCTCTGTCCCACCTGAGCTGGTCCTCACCTGGGGGGTGGAGAATCCCAACCCCAGCATCTCCCCTGGCTCTGTCCCACCTGAGATGGTCCTCACCTGGGGGGTGGAGAACCCCAACCTCAACATCTCCCCCAGCTCCGTCCTACCTCACTCCTTTCTCCTCCTTCCAGACCGTGAGAACCAGTCCATCCTCATCACGTAAGTCCCCACCCCCACAGCCCTGCCCCAGAGTGGTGGGGTGAGCAGTGCTAGGCTGGAGAAGCCGCCATGATGTTCTCCATCGCCTCCTCGTGTCCTCCCCTGCACCCAGCGGAGAATCCGGGGCGGGGAAGACAGTCAACACCAAGAGGGTCATCCAATACTTCGCCAGCATCGCTGCCCTCGGCGACCGCAAGAAGGATGCCACCAATAGCAGCAAGGTGGGTCCTTGGGCCACACCCCCTGCCCACCCTGGCATGGTGCTTCCTCCCACTGTGGTCACACCCAGCCCTGCCCCTTGTTGCACCCCCCCAGGGCACCCTGGAGGATCAAATCATCCAGGCCAACCCTGCCTTGGAGGCCTTCGGCAACGCCAAAACCAACCGCAACGACAACTCCAGCCGCTTCGGCAAGTACATGGACATCAACTTCGACTTGGCGCCCCCACGGGCGGCCCCATCCACAACTACCTCCTGGAGAAGGTGTGGTGGTGGCGCGGGTGGCACGGCCGGGTGGGTGCTGGTCCCGCGCGGGCACTGCCTGGCACCCACCCCCTGCTCCCTCTTCCAGTCTCGAATCCTCCAGCAGCAGCCGGGAGAGAGGAATTTCCACGCCTTCTACCAAGTGAGCCGTGGGGTGGGGTGGATGGGATGGGGACAGGTTGGATGGGGTGGTATGGGCAGGATGTACAGGATGAGATGGGGATGGGATGGACGGGATCAGAAGATTGGGATGGGATGGGATCTGTGGGATGAGATGGATGAGGGTGGGGTGGATGGGATCCGTAGGATGGGATAGGGATGGGTTGGGGACAGGATAGATGGGATGAGAAAGCTGTGATGGGATGGATGGGAAGGTTGGGATGGGATGGATGGGATCTGTGGGATAAGATGGGGATGGGTTGGATGGGATCAGAAGGTTGGGATGGATGGGATGGCATCTGTGGGATGAGATGCGGATGGGCTGGGGATGGCATGGATGGGATGATAAGGTTAGGATGGGATGGATGGGATCTGTGGGATATGATGGGGATGGGATGGATGGGATGAGAAGGCTGAGATGGAATGGGATGGATGGGATCTGTGGGATGGGGATGAGAAGGTTGGGATGGGTTGTATGGGATCTATGGGATGGATGGGATGAGAATGTTAGGATGGGATGGGTGGGATCTGTGAGGTGGATTGGGCAGAGGATGGGATGAAAAGGTTGGAGTGGGATGGATGGGATGGGGCAGATGGGATGGGTGGGATCTGGGATGAGATGGAGATTGGATGGATGGGATCAGAAGGTTGGGATGGGATGGATGGGATCTGTAGGACGAGATGCAGGTGGGATGAGAGGCGGGATGGATGAAATGAGAAAGTTGGGATGGGATAGATTATATGGGATGGGGTAGATGATATGGGATGGATGGGATCTGTGAAGTGGGAGGGACAGATGGGATGGGTGAGATCTGTGGGATGAGATGGGGATGGGTTGGATGGGATAAGAAGGTTGGGATGGGATGAATAGGATCTGTGGGATGAGATGGGGATGGGATCTGTGGGGTGGGGATAGGGTGGTTGGGATGAAAACGATGGGATAGATGGAGTGGAGGTCGGATGGATAAGATGGGACAGATGGGGCAGATGGGATCTATGGGATAAGGTGGGGATGGGATGGATGGGATGAGAAGGTTGGGATGGGTGGGATCTGTGGGATGGGGAGGAGTAGGTTGGGATGGATGGGATGGATAAGGTGGAACAGATGGGATGGATGGGGATGAGATTGTTGGGAGGAGAAGGATGGGATGGATAAGACGGGGTGGATGGATTCTGTGGGATGGGGATGAGGAGGTTGGGGTGAGATTGGGATGGGATGGATGGGATGGATAAGATGGAGCAGATGGGATGGATGGAATCTATGGGATGGGGTAGATGGGATGGATGGGATCTGTGGGATGGGGCTGAGGAGGATGGGAGGAGAAGGATGGGATGGAGAAGATGGGATGGATGGAATCTGTGGGATGGGGAGGAGAAGGTTGGGAAGAGATTGGGATGGGATGGAGAAGATGGGATGGATGGGATCTGTGGGATGGGGCTGAGGAGGATGGGAGGAGAAGGATGGGATGGAGAAGATGGGATGGATGGGATCTGTGGGATGGGGAGGAGAAGGTTGGGAAGAGATTGGGATGGGATGGAGAAGATGGGATGGATGGGATCTGTGGGATGGGGCTGAGGAGGTTGGGAGGAGAAGGATGGGATGGAGAAGACGGGATGGGTGGGATCTGTGGGACTGGGTGGGATGGGGCGATGGGCTCAGTGGGATGGCAGCGGGTGGGACAGGGCGAGACAGGACGGGTCGGGACAGATGGGTCGGGCCGAGGGACACCCCGGGGTGCTGACGCCCCCCACCACCCCGCAGCTGCTGCTGGGCGCCCCG